CTCAGCTTTTAAAAAAATTTATTGTTACAGAAGTCACTGCAGTTTTATACTGTAAAAGAACGCTAAATATTTGCGATTAATATTAATTATCTAAAATTAGATTTTTCTAAAATGATAAAAGAATAATCGCGAAAAAACAAATTTTAAGAAAAAACTAATAGCGAAGGTGCGAAAAGTAATCGCGAATCGCGATACGCTTAATTCGAGCCCTGTATATATATATATATATATATATATATATATATATATATATATATATATATATATATATATATATATATATATATATATATATATATATATTTATATAAATTCTCCAAAAAAGTAGCAATATACTGTCCCCACTAATTTTTTTCAAGTTGATACTATTTTTACTTTAAACCGATGCAAATAACAAATATACAACTTATACAATGTTAAACTGATGTAATCCAAAATAGTATTTTCAGTGAATAAATAATGTTCCACAGACTGACAAGTCACGTCTGCGGAATGTCACCTCCCAGACTTTTTGCTAATCCCAAGAAGTTGAAACCCTGTTGCTAGTACTTTACTTTTATTTTTATATATAATAAATAATCAAGAATACATTAAAATTACAGTTGATATAATGTTTTCCTCAAAACATATTTTTAATGTAACTTTTTTGTAATTGAAGCTCTTGTCACCACCTTAAATGTCACGTCTGTGGATAGAGTTATTAATTCCAAAAGCTGAAGGAGACAGCAGTAGTTCTCTATGTTGCTGTTCTAACTAAACTATCAGACATTTTTATTGATGAGTAATAGTGGGGGAATTTTTGGTGTAGTTGTTTAGTGCTGATAAGTGTTGAAGTTTTAAAAGTTTAATTTTTTAGTCTTAGTGTTTCACATCTGTGGCAAACATACTCAGGGTAAATAATTTTACTTTTTTACAAGCAAAACTTTTGTTTAATAGGAACTAATTTAAGGGGATTTTTGTTTAATTTAAGAAGAACAGAGTCCTAGCCTCAAAACATAGCACTCCTTTTAGGGTTTTTCCTTCAATTTGTCATTTCTGTGGATGTCACGTCTGTGGAGTACAGAAAGCAACAGACGTGACACACATGGAACGGATGTGACAACAAATGGCAATTTTACCTGTACCTGAATTTTTAACACAAAAGAAAATGCATGAACTTTCAGAAAGGAATAAAGGATCAGTAAGAAAAGGTTGGAAAGAAAGGACCAAGAGAAGTCGGAAAATGAAAAAGAAAAGACAGCAACTTATTGAAAATTTGTCTACACCATCTGAAAGTCCAACTGTAAATGTTCCTATCAAAAGTGAAATAGACATAAATGTACTTCCTGGTCCCAGTCAGGAATCTAGTTCCAGAAAAAGAAGCGGGCTAAAAGTTTGTAGAAAATATAGAGATGGGTTGAAGAAAAAGATCCAAAAATTAGAAGAAAAAAACAATTTGTTAAAGCAAAGAGGTGATAAATACAAACAAAAATTCTACAAATTGCGATATGCAAAAGATAATACTCCTCAAAAGGTGGTTAAAAAAATGGCCAGTGGTATGAAATGCTGTGAGGAAGTAAAGAAAAGCTTGCTTTTTAGGGAAGTGTTAAAGACAAAAATGCAAACAAATTCTTCTACTAAGAGTTGTATTGACAAAAAAAAAGGATTTTGCCAGGGTATTAAGCGGAAAGGTAATAAAGAAGATATATCTTACCAGCCCTCAAATGTACTGAAACAACAAAAACTTGAAATAAAAGTTATGAACTTTTTAGAAAAAGATAGTTCCAGTAGGTTTACTACTGGAAAAAAAGAAATAACAAGAAACAAAGTGAAAAAACAAAAAAGACTATTAAATGATACAATGTTGAATTTGTGGAATGAGTTCAATTAAACAACTGAGTTCAAGTCAACGTCTTATAGCACATTTTGCAAATTAAGACCCTTTAGTGTTGTTCAACCAGACTTTCGTAAACAAGATACTTGTCGAGGAGTATGCCTTTTAAACAAAAAAATAGTTTGTAAAGAATTTCAGAATGATGTGAATGAAAAAGTAAAATTTCCACAATGGTCTAAAAAAAGTGTTGAACTTGCGGTAAAAGATAAAATGAAGACATGTTTTAAAACCGTAAAAGAAGAGTTAAAATTAACTAAAAAAGTTTTTGCATTTTATTACCAACTTACTGGAAAAGTTTATGAAGTATGTATGCAATATAAAACACCAGTACAAAGCTACATCAGAAATAAAAAATAACTTAGGGCCTAGAGATATTTTCATTCATTGTGACTTTTCAGAAAATTACAATTGCAAATACTCAAAGGAAATCCAATCACTCCACTTTGGCGGATCAAGGAACCAAGTGTCAATCCATACAGTTATGGCATACTATTGTAGTATTTCTGGAAACAAAATAAAGGAAAAATTTTACTGAACAATTTTAGATAACAGGTGTCATGATTTTGTTGTAATCTGTGCGCATTTAAAGCCTGTTATCAATGACTTAAAAGAAAAGCTACCTGTCATTGAAACAGTTCATTTCCTTAGTGATAGTACTTCTCAACAGTACCGAAACAAGTCCATGTTCTATTTGGTTGGTACTTTTTTTCAAAAAGAGTTTGGAGCTAAAACTGTAAGGTGGCATTTCACAGAAAAGAGTAACGGAAAAGGTGCCCCTGATGGAATAGAAGGTTGTATCAAAAGAACCGCAGGCAGATTGATTGGACAAGGGAAAGATATTCCTGATATTAATTATTTGGTTGAAGAAATAAAAGAAAAGTGTCTAAGTATAACTATCTATACTATTAACAGCACAGATTTCAATCTCTATAAGAAATGTGTACCAGAAAACTTAACAACTTTCAAGAAGACTTAACAAGTTCATGAGGTGGTTTGGAGTTCCACTAAAAAAGAAACATTGTATATGAGAAGGCTGACATGCACTATATGTGACAATGATACAAAATGCAAACACTATAGTATTGGAGAAGTACTAATCCCTGTGAATTTTTTAACGTATCTTCATCCTCGTATCCTTTTAATATGTAGCTTTTAGAAACTTAAGTTTGCTTATATTGAATATTGTATTATATTGAATATAATATTGAATATTATATTTGCTTTTATTGAATATTGCAAACTTTTCAAATGTTCTCTAGTTATTTATTCAGTAAGAATGTTTGATTAATATTTAATTTTTCAGTTACTCTAGTATTTTCATTAAAGATTAAAATAAGTTGTGCATGAAATCTTTATTGTAAAATAATTATTTAACTTGTTTCTGTTTCATTAATAATTTTTTGTGCCTCTGTTTTTAGAAATTCCTTAACATAGTTTAGCAGGTCAACAATTCTTGAAAATGAAAAAAACGCCAGCTGAAGAAACGACATACAAATGTTTGGCTCAAGAATCCCAAGGACCGGGTAAATGTGAAAGAAATTGACAAGACTAAGTAACCACAGTGTTTACAGCGATAATGAGGACAGCTTGTCTATTAAAATCAATGATTTTGTTATTTTGTGTCAAGTTTCAAACATCAAAAAAAAAAGTGAATTACTATGTTGGGTTAATTCAAGCCTTAGATGCAGATGTGGTTTGTCATAAAGTTTTTGAGATCTGGCCAGGAATTTTTTACGCTTCCAGAGAAAGATGACATCTCTGTCATTGATAAGAGTGATGTAGTGTTGAGATTTTGCCAGCTGAACCTCAATTACAAGGGGCAATATTGTTTTCCACAAGACTTACAATTCAAAAACATTTGCTAATTTACTTACTAATAATACTTAAAATTTTTTAAAAACTAGTACCATGTACTATTTTATGTCAACTATTAAAAACTGTTGATTAAAGATGGTTATTATTTTTGTAAATTACCTGACAGACACTTATAGCTGTTACAGCATAAAGCGATACTATTCATGTCATGTCTGTGGTAAATTTGTCACGTCTGTGGATTACGCTAAAAAATTTTAATTTTTTTTGTAAACTGACTTTTAACAAGGTGTGCGGATACTTACAAATGATTAAAAAAACTCAAAGCTATAACAGCAAAAAATTTGGTTTGGAAATTTTAATATTTAAATTTTATAAAAATATTTATTGAAAATGTTACTTTTCAGGAGAATGACCCATATATATATACACTGTGTCAAAAAAGTTTTCATCCACCTATCCTGTACATCTTTCAGACGTGATAACTTTACATTCAGCAAAGATATAAGCATAATTTCAACTTAATTATATCAGTTAACCATTCAAGAAGTATTGTATAAAAAGATTTTACAAAATAATGAATAGAAATTAAAATACAACATTTAAACATAAACAATGCCTGTTTTTGCGCCAAAAAAGTTTTCATCCACCCTGCACTCCAACCTCAATTTGTTATTAAATCAGTATTAAAGTATCATTTTTAAAATATAAATTAGATTTAGTAAGATTTTTGTATTTTTTTTTTTTATATGAGTTTTTTATATTTTTTATTTTTGTTAGATTATTAATAAAAATGAGAGTTGCAGAGGAAATTAGATTGCTTATTGTTAGACTATGGAAAGAGGGAAAATCACAGCGAAATATAGGAAAAATAGTAAAGAAATCACGTGCAACTGTGCAGTCTATTATTAAGAAATACCAAACCACCAAAAAAATTGCTGATAAGCCACGTACAGGGCGTCCAAATAAAATTCAAGTATTGCATCGACGAGCTATATTAAGAACAGTCATCCAGAATCCTAAAATAAGTGCTCCAAAACTCGCTGGAATGCTGCAAAATGATTACAATTTAAAAGTGGACCCTGAAACTGTTAGAATAACCTTAAGAAGAGCTGGATACAATGGTAGAGTACCATTGAAAAAGCCCTATATCAGCAAAGTCAACAAAGCCAAACGACTACACTTTGCAAAACTTTATATCAATGAACCACAAACATTCTGGGAATCGGTCCTTTTCAGCGATGAATCAAAATTTAATGTGTTTTCATCAGATGGAAGAGTTAAAGTTTGGAGAAAACCAAATGAAGCATTTAAAAAACAAAACTTGTGTCCAACGGTGAAGCATGGCGGAGGAAGTGTTTTAGTGTGGGGGTGTATGAGTGCTTCAGGTGTAGGAAACTTGGTTTTCATTGATGGAAATATGGATCAAAATGTGTATTTAAACATTCTAAAAAATAATCTGGAAGAAAGTGCCCACAAATTGGGACTTACTAGGTCATTTACTTTTCAGCAAGATAACAATCCAAAACATACTGCCAAACGTGTCAAGGAATGGCTTATATTTAAAATAGCTAAGCAACTTCATACACCCCCACAATCTCCAGATTTGAATCCTATTGAACATCTGTGGGATGAATTGGGTAGAAGAATTAGGACCCACAATGTGAGGAATCAACAACAACTCCAATTAGTAATTATGAAAGAGTGGGGCTTAATCACTCCAGAAATTACTAAAAAATTAGTTTGTTCAATGAAAAACAGACTACACGAAATAATAAAAGCTCGTGGTGGAAACACAAGTTATTAAAACACTAATAAATTGAGTTCGTATGACAATTTTATTTGATTTTTGTAAAGTGGATGAAAACTTTTTTGAGACAAAGATGTCTATCTTTTATTCCAAAATGCTGTATTTTATTTGTAACTCATTACTTTAAAAAACTTTTTTTGTACAATATTTCTTAAATGTTTAAATGATATAATTTAGTTTATATCATGCTTGCATCTTTGCTGAATAAAAAGTTATTGCATTTTTAAAATGTGCAAGATAGGTGGATGAAAACTTTTTTGACACAGTGTATATATATATATATATATATATATATATATATATATATATATATATATATATATATATATATATATATATATATATATATATATATATATATATATATATATATATATATATATATATCAGGGTGCAAGCTAGCCCTGTGGCGCCCCGTCAAACGTGGTTTTCCCAAATGCTCATAAAATTAAAATTCCCAATTTAAAGATGAAAAAATCCCATTCTCCAAAAAAAGTTTTCAAAATTAAAGTTTAATATTAATTCTAAAAATAATTTAAAATTAATTATTATTCAAAACTAATAAAAAAAACATGAAATCAAATCACCATTATTGGTATAAAAACGCAATTGCATAACTGCGAAAATCGGTTACTTGGAAAAAACATCATGAGAACTGAGTTTTTGGAGCGATTTTTGGGATTTTTTAGGCAATTTGCAATAAAGTTTGAAAATAATTTTTTGAAATGCATTCCAACAACAGCAAATATTACATAAAAAGTTAGCAAGAAATAAAGTACTAATCTAAAAGATCCAAAATAATAACAAACTTGTTTGGTTTAACACCCGCAAATGCTATTTCTTTAAAAGTTTCACCCTTTTTGGCTAAAAAGTTAAATAACTTATTAAGTCTTACCGTAAACTCAACTTTAAGTACTACATGTATTTCATCACCAAAAACATCAAGAAGGTTATGTCAAATACCTTTTGATCAATTATGGTTATTACGGAAAGTCTTTTAGTTATTGTTTTTCCTTTGTTTGGTATTTTATATTAACTGAATTTGCTAAAGTTTTTTACTTTTTTACTATTATTCTTCGATGCCACGCGTGCAATCACTTGCTTATAATATTACTCTATAATTAAACGACATTTGTTGCTGTATTTGCTGAGACTTATACCATGTTCACACTAGCGATGTTCAACAGAACATTATTCCGGAACAAATGTTCCACAAAATGTTACTTGTAGCGTTCACATGTAAAATTGGCTTGACGATACATAAAAGAAAAAACAAGTAAAAAAACGGTAAAACTCGAATAAAAATTAGTGACAAACAGTTTGGCAAATACACATTGTTAATATAATTTATTAAATTTTAATATTTATTCATTTATGAGAGGTAAAACAAAATGCAAATAATGCTGAGGGTTAAGCTAGCTCAGAGTTAGACAATAGAAACCTAACCCAAAATACCCGCCATACAAAAGGTGACGTTGCAATTATGTTATCCCATTTCTTGACTTTTATGGATAGTTTATATCTCCTTTAGTCGCTTTTGACGACACAGAGTAATAGTCCATCAGTGATTTAGTACCGAATAAACATATTATACATTAATAAGTTACCCACAACCAGTTAAAACTAATCTCATTTTGTGTTCATACATATGTAATATTTATTTATTTAGACACATTTGATAACCTCAAGGAAAGTAAGTTTAGTTCAAAACTACTAAATACATAACCATATTACAGCTAAAGCTTTAAATAATAAATAATATTATTACTACTTTACTTGTCCCTTTCATAAAGGTATTTAGCAATTGAGTCACGAACATTTTTTCCTGGTCCATTGTTCCCAAGTGTAGAAACTGTATTGGGTTGAGCTAGACTGTCATCATGATGATGCATAAGCCATTCTATTATAATAATATCGTCATAATATTCACAAATGTTGTGAAGAATGACGCAAGCATTAACAATTCTTGTAGCAAAGTTAATATCGCATTCCATATGTTCGCAAATTACACGGAATCGAGCTTTAACGCACCCAAAAGCATTCTCAGCTACTCTTCTAGCTCCGTAAAGTATTTTATTGAAATTTTTTTGAATTTCACTAAGCTCCAAATTTTTAGGATAAGGTTTTAACAAATGACGCTATCACCTATGAAACATAGCAGAACAAAAGAATCGCCCAGCTCTTTACAACATTTATCAAATAGTTTTGATTCTAAAATTGCTTTCAAAGAAGAATTCTGCAAAATATAGCTGTCATTATTTCTACCAGGCGATCCAACACTTGTATAAATGAAACGGTATCGACAGTCTACAACGGCAAAAAGTACAATGGAATACCACCTTTTATAATTATAATAAGAAATTGCTTGATCTTTAGGGGCTGAAATAGGGATGTGGCATCCATCAACAGCTCCAACGCATTGTGGAAAACCAAGAATAGCTTCGAAATCTCTACTATGTTTATTTAAATTTTCCACTGACAATGGAAATTTAACATATATAGGGAGCAAAATGTCATTAACAGCATTAATAAATTTATGAACAATTAAATTTGCTGTTGACTTTCCTATGCCAAAAAGGCTAGACACAACATGATACTCTTCACATGAAGCTAGATAATGTAATGCAACTGCAACACGTTTTACTACTGAAATAGGTTCTCGCATAGTTGTGGTAGTTTTGCCTAAATGTGGATGCAATTCATTAACTAGGAAATTAAATGTGTTACGATTTACTCGAAAATGCTCTTTAAATTCACATTCCTCCATTTGAGTAAAAATCTCATTAAACCATTGAGAACTTTTCGGCCTTACCCAAACTTTTCTTTCAATCAGATACCCTTGTTGATTTAACTTAAAGGAAACTAAATCTAAATATGAAAATGAGTGGGTGATTGATTCATCATTGATTAATGTTCTACTTCTTGATCAAAGTACGGCCAAAACGCTTTCCATGTTTTTCCAATAGCTTTTATCTTTACAGATGTCTCCCTAAAAAGCTATTAAAACTATATAAATTTATTAAATAAATATAATACTTATTATATTACAATTAAAGGGAAATTAAAACACATTTTTAAAAACCATTTTGTTAGAATTGATACAGCATGATCTGTTAACAAAAACAAAAATGAAACATGTAATGCAATTTGTATAAACTAAAAACAAAACACGTTGCCAAAAAACATATCACTATAATTCATCTACAGGCTTGCTTCATATCGCAAAAAAAAAATTGTTTGGTAAAAATACTAAATATATATAGCATAGAGATAAAAAAAAAGGTATTTATAAAATAACATAACAAATTTATATTTAAAATACCACCAGATATGTATTTTAATGCTTGAAATCACAAAATATTTTTATTTTACATAAAGTAAAAATTCCTTTGATAATAGTAATATGGTAACATGAAAAAATATATATAAATAGAGCTTCATCTACAAGCTTGTACAATATTTCACTAACCATCTCTTTAGTTAAAACATTGAAAAACCTTATGAAATATATATTGCATAGAATTGTAAACAAGGTATACTGTTGAAAAAATACTGACCTTTCAACTTTAACATAATTACTAAAAAGGTATCTTGACTAATAGAACACCTTATTTTTTTATTAAAAATTTATAATATTCTGTTTGGGCTTTAGACACAACTACTTGGGCTTTGGATGCATTTTCAATTGCATTGCAAATACGCTCTAAAGCAACAACCTCTCTGATTCGTAGCTCTCGTGAATGGATTTGAACATCTAGATTTTTATTTGCTATTTTTAAATATTCAGAAGAAAAATTTGTTTTTTTGTTTTTTCTCACCTGTTCAGTTTTTGCTATTTTATTCAAAGTTTTTTCATCATCAGAGTTCCTTCGTTTATTGCAGCCGGATGTAGATTGAGTTGGTTCCTTATCAGGAATAGTGACAATTGATTGCACATCACTTGTATCATCCAAATCTTCAATATTTAAAATACTGACAGTCCCCTTGCCATCTTCCATTGTGGCAATCTGTAAATAAAATATACACATTAAAAAAATTACACATTTGAGAAATGATTATAAATCATGTTTCAATCAAAATTTATCTCTTGACTTTGAAAGACTTGACTTGAAGTCATTTTACTCCCTTCCTTCTCTAAACAAAAAGGATCTATTTAGACAATAGCATTTTACAAATTGATCTAGCCAATATTAAAAGATCCCTTTTATAATTCAAAAACTTTATATTATATGTTTTTGATCTTTATGTTTTAAGTCTGCCGAATGTTGCAAAACTAAGAACCTCTTAAACCTTATTTTGTAGAAATAGTTAACATGCTTGTTTATATTACTTTAAAAAATATATAACACTTTAAAATATACAACAATAAGTTATACTAAACTTACCTGACCATCTTGAAAATCTTGAGTAGAAAAGTTTTGACTTTGAGATAAAAGGTCATTGTCAAGGGAAGCTTCGCCACCTATTATTTTGGCAACAATATCATAAGGCCACCATTTACTAGGAGCTTCTCCCAATGAACCAACTTGAAGTTTTTCTCGTCTATGAAAAATATACATAAATGTAAGTAAATATAAGCACATCATTAACACCGTATAACATTAATCAAATAACTTTAAATGGACAAATTATTATTAACAAAATAATTATTAACAAAATTAACGAATTATTAACGAATAATAAAATAACGAACTATTAACAAAATAATTATCAACGAGCTGTAAATCTTCAATACTGAATAAGATTTAAGTAATTTTTAATATAACACTCAGTTACAAACTAAATTGCAATTAGATATTATTAAACATGGTTAGTTTTGTAAAATACTTTCAGTATTTCAGTAAGGTATCAAACATTAAATGTAGAATATGTACATACCTAAATTTTTTCCTCAAATTACTAATTTTAGATTGAATTTGATATCCAGTTAATGGAGGTACGATATTAAATGTGTTTGAAAATTCAGCTGCCATTTGTTTGTAAATATTTGTGTTTCTTCTTGCAGATGTTAATGCTTTGTAATTATCTTTCCATAAATCTAATAATACTCTTGTGTTAGCCATATTCCATACAAATTTATTTAAAGGAGATGTGCAAAGACCAATATTTGTTGTGCTAGCATCAATACACTCTTTTTCTGAATGCTGAGACATTTTGTAAAATTAAAGTTTTACGTACTAAAAAGGATAAGTACATTGAATCTTGCAACAATAACAACAACAACAACAAAAAGAAGAGAAATAGATAATAATAAAATTAAAGGTTAAACTTCATAATTGCTATAAATGTTATGGGCTTAAAATAATTTAATAATGTTATGGGCTTACTAAATAATTTAATAAATTGCCAAAAACTGGTAGCCAAGACAACAGAAACTTTCAGATGCTACTTTTACTTTTTTTTACTTTTCCATGCAATGTGATAATTATGTTATTTAATAACATTGATCTTTCAACACTATTGTTTATTTTTATTTTTAAATGTCAATAATTGTAGTACATTGTGGCAAAGATATAAGGTACAGTCATATCAATACAGTCAATCAATAATATATATTCTGAATAAAGGTCTTACTTTCACAATTATTCACAAACAGTAAATTAACTAATATTAAGTAAATACAGAGTATTTATGAGGAAAATACTAATGGTAATGTTCACAAATTAAAATAACAAGATAAGACAAAGCTATTATAATAAAATATATATGACATATAAATAAAATATATGACAAAGCTCATATATAACAATATATACCAATAATAATATCATTAATAATATTAGTATAAATAATAATAACAATGATGATAATAATGATAATAATATTAACAATTGTTATTGTTGTTATTGTTATCATTATTATTACTATTATTATTCTATTATAATAATAATAATTATTATTATTTTTATTATTATTATCACTGTTGGCAAGGCCAATGATAAACAACTGCTTATTAGTTCAAAGTTTAATTTTATAAATAAAATTACTATAAGTTTATTAAAAATGACCTAATAGCAATGCTTGCAAAGAATATAATTAAATAAAAACTATTAAACAATGAAAATTAAACTTTCTTAACGCAAGTTAAATGTTACCTTGAATTATACTTCTTGTTAATCAAATTAAAACTGATCTTAATAAGAATAATACTGTCTTTGTAATGTTATATTTTAAGATTAAGTTTTTAAACACACATATATGACTTCTTTTTAAATTAATAATACACTAATAATTAAATTTCTATTCTATTTATACAAATTTTAAATATTGTTAAAAATAACTTGAAATTTGTGATGGCTAAATAATTGTTTTTAAATAATTGCCCACCATCTGGTCTACTCATGATTGATCCCACACGAGTGGGATCGGAATTTCCTTGGTTGCATGAAATTACCACAAGTTTTACTCAATGAATAAAGATATGAAATTATATTCGAAGAAATGCTTTGAATTCAATAAAAAAGATGGAAGGCAAAAACTAAAAGTTTCAAGGCAACATGTTGTAAGGCAAATTTTTACCGCATTTATATGATATTTATATGCAACCCTAACCCTGACCCTAACCCTAACCCTGAACCCTAAATAGTATATCGACAATCTTGTCTTGATATATGACCAAGACCTAGGACAATGCAGAGATCAAGGACTAAAAACTCTGGTTAAGATGACAACAACTTTGTAAAAAAAATAGTTTGAGTTACTTTCCCAACAAATTTGCATCTTGCAATGCATTTTTATTGAATCATTTAGCTTATATGCATACGCTTATTTTAAAAATAGTTGAAAATAGGCACCATTTTTTATACAAAGCCAAATAAATGTTCCGGAACATTTATTTGTTCTGGGTTGGCGGGATGGTACAAAAGTTCCTCAAATGTTCCTTGAATTTTTGTTCCATTTGCGTTCACATGAGAGGATATTTGTTCATGTTCCATGTTCCACGGAATGTTCCATCAAATGTACCCTCGTGTGAATAGCCTATTAGTGATTATAACTTTATTTCGCTTTGTGACTTTTGTATAAAATAAATTATTATTAATTATAAAATTGAACTCGCAATAAATGTGAAATATAAAATTTATGAGCTCGTGTTTACTATTTATAAAACCTTATCTATTTTTAAAAATTTCTTTTGAAGACACAGTTTATTACATGATGATGTAAGGGTTCGTTCGTAAGGTACATCGAGCAGAACTTAAATAATAATTAGAAGTTTGCGGTAGTGGTGTAGTGGTAGAGCGCTCGCTTCATAAACAAGTGGTTCGGAGTTCGATCCTCACCACGTCCCTGGTAGTACTGCGCTCAACTCGTTTCTCCGCGCAGCGACCTTGTTCATCAAGGTTCGTGTTTCAGAGTTATAGAATTGAGAGAGGGTTATAGCCACAAATAAGTAGCCTCCTCGTCTGTAGTGGCCTTCTCGGCCTTGAGGAGGTGAATTAAAAAAAAAAAAAAGTAGAAGATCATTGGCTCATTAGAGATCGCTATTTTACTATATTACATTGAAAAAGAAATATATATTTAAAATAATACTCTTGAAATGAAAGCGGCGACAATATAAAAAGGTTAAAAATAAATCAAATTAATTATTCTCAATAATAATTAATATACACTGATTAGTTTATAATAAAAAAAGATATCATTCCTAATATATATTAGGAATGATATCTTTTTTTATTATAAACTATATATATACATATGTTCGGAAATCGCTTCTTTGTTTGCCGTGTCGTGAAACAACAGCTAATTTTGTGTTGATTTTGTATTCATCTTTAATAATACAAATGGTATTTTATTTTATTTTTGGCGCTGATCAATCGATGTATGCAGCGCTGAAGTAGAGTAGAAAAAATAAGAACACCAAAAAAGGACCGGATGCTTTCCCAGAACATATTTTAATCTCAGGGGAGGAGGGGTTGATTGAGATATACTTCGATAAATTCCCAATTTCGTTAAAACGCTGTATCAAATTTATTCCTGGTTAACACCCTGTGTATATATATATATATATATATATATATATATATATATATATATATATATATATATATATATATATATATATATATATATATATATATATATTATGGTTCGGACTGTTTTTAATTATATCATTTTGCTTATGAAAATGAGATTATAAATAAAACAGAAAGTATTTGTATAAGACTATCACAAGGAAGATTTTACAGTTTACATATGCAATTGATGTTCCAAAATTTAAAATATCGATCTTGCTTTATAATTCCCTTTATGATGTAGGTATAAATTCAAACCCTTACCACTTATATACCATATACCAAATTATATGTCATATACCAAATAATAAAGATTTTACAGTTTTAAAGACATAACCCTCCTAGTATTTTTCTGATTTTTTGTTGAGAACATACTGAGTTGTATTGTTCAAATTTTGTTAAAGGTTTGTAAAAAAAAATTAAATAATTTGAACGTTTGCTTTTTTTTTTTACTGTTAAGTTTGCATACTTTAACATATTTTGTTTCATCATAGCTATTAATTTTTTCTTTATTATTGGTTTCCTATTGTTACATCTAAGGTTATTAAGACTTGTCACTTTGATAGCGATTCCACAGCGCTACAAAAAACATTTAACGTTTGACCAAAAACACAGAATTTTCATAAACCATACCCTCATATCATTTTGTATGGTTAAGCAATAACCTTTGGGTTTTTTGCATCAGTTAGTCTTACTCAACCTCAGCCATATATAGAAAGTACTATGCTTCATATGGCTTCACTTAAATATTTTCAATAGCTTAAGACCACTTTTGCTAAAAAAAAGTTGCCGCAGACACGTTTTTTCAAAAGTAGCTTTTGAATGTAAGATTTTCTAAGCACTAAAACACATCCAATTTGCATGAAATTTTCCATATAGGATGAGGAGTCGAATGGAAAGGGGAGTAACATTGGTAACATATATATATATATATATATATATATATATATATATATATATATATATATATATATATATATATATATATATATATATATATATATATATATATATATATATATATATATATATATATATATATATATATATATATATGAAAATAATATATAACTATATATAATATTATGAAAATAATATATAGCTGCTTTATATGGTATGAAAATCTTTGTTTTTTTTATCATTGATAGAAAGAACAAAGAATCACTTAATAATATACCACAAAGAACCACTTAATAATATACCAATTAATAATCCTTATTAAGGGTTATTTAATAATCCTTATTTAAGGATTACTTATTAAGGCTTAATAAAGCTTAATAAGCCTTATTAAGCCATAATAAGGATTATTTCTTATTCACATCCTTATTATACCTTAATTAAAGGATGTGAATAAGAAATAATTTAAGGGGTATAAAATAAGAAATAATTCTTATTATTAGAATTATTTCTTATTCGCATCCTTATTAAGATTTAATTTGGTTTAATTGGTTAAAATTGTAACTAAATAGGACAGTTTATTTCATGAAAATAAT